TGGAACTGGTACTTGTGCATCCACATTGAAGTGAGTTTGTCCTGTGAATGACAAGATAACTTTGAAAAGGTTTGTTATTCACTAAATGACAATACTCAGAAAATTAACATCACTGCTGTATTGTTTTATGTTAGAAGAGCTCCCCATGATCTGAATTCTCTTTCTGGGCTTGGTTTCATCTCTAGTCTATAGAATCAGAGAATCATTTAGGTTGGAAAATAGCACTAAGATCAAGTCCAACCCTTAAACCAGCATTTCCAAGTCTACCACTAAACCATGTCACTAAGCTCCACATCTATGCTTCTTATAAAGACCTTAAAGGTGATCCAACCACTTCCCTGGGCAGCTTATTCCAGTGCTTGACAACCCTTTTTGTGAAGATTTTTTCTCTAATATCCAACTTAAATCTCCCCTAGTGTAACTTGAGGCCATTTCCCCTCATCCTATCACTTGTTACTTAGGAGAAGAGACTGACCCCCACTTCAGCACAACCTCCTTTCAGGTATTTGCAGAGCACAATAATGTCTCCCTTGAGCCTTGTTTTCTCCAAATTAAACAACCTCAGCTCCCTCAGCTGCTCTTCACAAGACTTATGCTCTACACACTATATATTAATGTGTGAAAGCATGTAAGAATGTCTGACTTTATATATAACTTCTGTAGTTAGTCAGATATTAACTGGAATCTGCCTGCCCCGGGAGACTGGTTGTAGTTTTGTTTTGCTGCTGCCAGTAGCTTGAATTCAGTCCAGGACTTAGAGGTCAATACAAATGCCATTGAATACCCACTCTCTCAGAATCTGGAGAAGGCAGCATGTTTTAGGTTCAAACCAAGCACAGCTCCAGTCCAGCTTTCCTGTATCCAAAGGAAAGGTGCACACACTGGATGAGGATGCTCACATAAAATATTGCTTCAGGACTACTGCTGCTAAAATCACAGAAATTTATTACAATCCTGAGACTAATCACATCTTTCTATGGAGTGAACAGATTTCATTCTAGCCTAACAGGCAGATACCAAAGTGATAAGAGAGGACACCTGAAATGTCCTCTCAGCCCTGTGGGCAATGCTTGCCTGATGAAACTGGGATTGGAAGGACAAGGTGGTACGAAGTAGTTTTAAAAAGGGTTGCACCAGTTCAAACAGTAGGTTAAAAATGTTCCTTCACAAGGTTTCAAGCACATCTTCTTCTCATCACTTTAAATCTGTTTGTAAGATAGTGACTGGGTGATAATGAATGCTATCCATTTACTGCGCTTGCTGAATATATTGATTAATTGTGCACAACACTTTGAAGATAAAGCACTGTGTTGTTAATAAACACAGTCTAATGATTCTCTCCTGATTTTTTTAGCACTCCTCTTACTTTGTGCAAGGTGTAAATACTTTACTGCAGCTACAGGCAGGCTGGCCAGCTGCATGGGCCACATGCTGATTTCAGCTGAAGGCTTTCACATCAATTGTTCTGTGGCTGTTCCATTGCCAACACACCGTGCTATCTCCTGTTGCTGTTTCCTTGCTTGCTTGTTCGGGGGCACGATAAGGAAATTTCCATGATTTCTGGTGAAAACGGCCCTTCCTTTGCAGCAGGCTGCCATTTCCCTCTGCCTAATACACAAAGAAAGCAGCCAACAGGAGCACAACTGCTTTAATTGGCTACTAAGAGTCTTTGAGTCGAACTAAATTACCAAACGAGAAGAAACACTAATTTCCTCTTTACTCTCCTCACCCTGCCTCAGAGTAAGGGAGGCAATTTTCTTGAGGAAAGAAAGAACTTTTCCCAACCACAGGAGTGTGACAGAGGAGGCTGCTGAAATCAGCTGCTAACACAGATTGATGTGATGATTTTCACACCTAAAAAGACCTTTCGTTTATTTTTTTTCTCTTGGATTCCTCCAGCACACGTTTTGAAAAGACAATGAATATTGCTTTCACATGAAATTTCAGGCATACACCACTTTAAAGGTTTTTCAGAATCAGGCAAAGCACCACATGAGAACAAAGAAGCAATATGAGCACTTAGTTTCTAACACTAGCTGTCAGTGAGAATTAAACTTTCTGTAAGGCACCTGTGTCAAGCTCACCTGAGTTAAGAGAGCTGCTCCATTAGATGGCAGAAATACCAAGCTCGTGGGAACTGACCCTGCCAACAATTATACATGAGCTTCTTTTTAAACCTATGAAAATATTCCTGTTTGGGCTATCAATATGCACTGGGGCTGCAAACGTGGTCGTGAGAGCAAGACCTGAGAGCAAGACTCCTCTTCCAGCCACCCCACAGGACCAAGGTTGCAGAAGTTCTCATTGGGTCACATATCTCAAACATTCAGAGAGAAGCAAGATTTTGGTTGTAGGCTGTTGCTGTTGTGAATACTCAAAGCAGCTAAAAATGAAGCAAAACTTCTCCTTCACTTTGTGTGATGCACACAGCAGTATTTTGACACAAAACTATCAGAATCAGTCATCTCTGCAGATAATCCTATGGCTCTTTTTCACTGCCTAAAACCATGACAGCAATCATATGAACCCTTTCCCATACCTGAAGCATACCTATCTCTTCTGTTTCAATCCCTTCATACTTATTAGCCTCACAGACATCACATTTTTCCTTTATGACACCAATTTGGCTACTTCTACCTCTATATATATTTTTAAATAAAATTTCCAGGATATCAATACTTTTAAAAATTCAAACTAGGATGTGGTTCCAAATTTGTTGTAGGGAAAGAGATAAAAATCCAAACCATCAGTTTATAAGCCCTATTTTCTTAGGAAAACATGGTAAAAATAAGAATGTTTGTCAAACTACAAAAACTGCTAAAGGATCGAGGAGCAGACATAGTAAATGAAGTTATTTTTTTCTGTCCTTCTTTGCCAAACTAGATTTAAATGCATTCTACAGCATACTTATCATAAGTCTGTAATACAGCACTGTGATCCATGGCAGTAACCATTTTGAATAAGATGCTATTAACACACAGAAGTCATCTGTCTGTTGCAGTTTCATCAAACTATTCCATTCTGAGGTCAAAAATGTTTTTCCACTATCCATCTGCTACAGTTTTGGAGATTCATTGAATAAAGAAGACAAAAATTCTAAATACTGAGCAAATCTATTTTAAGAAGTATATTTATCACAAATCTAATGTGTTGGGTGACTAATAACATACATGTGTGCACTGTGCTTGCCAAAAAACATCAACATTTCCAAATAGTTACCACATTTACAATTAAAATAATGTATTTGCCAAATGTTTGGTTGTTTGTCTTTGTTTTATTCAAATTATGATTTCTCTTCTGTTCCAAGTGCAGAACAAAATTTCCTGAGTATCAGAAGCAAAACATTAGAGGGAGATTCTAATGTCTGATACAGCCTCATTCAGCTCTCAGCTATATAATATTGCTTAGATTATATCAGACTTGTCATTGTTGTAGGAGGCCTAACAGCATCCTAACAAGGAAAACTAAAATGAGGCTTTAAATTTTGCCTCTTACAAGTCTCTTGCCTGTCAGTTGCAATTGTCCAGCCATTCCTCATGTTGCTTGGTTTCTGGCTTGTGCTGCCCCTCCTGCTGCCTCCGTTCTTTTGTGAGTGCTGGAGGCAGGAGAGGCTGGTGGCAGCAGGAGTTCACACTCCTCCACCACTCTCATGCCCCATGCTAACTGGTGTGCAGAAAGCTTAATATGTGAATGTTCCTACTGCCTTATTGACTTCTGCTCTGAGGTTGGGCCAGGGAGTGGAATCTTACAGAAAAATAGAAAAACAGATGATCAGAGGGAAACTGCATTGCCTCTTTGTAACAATCATATTCTTAAGCCTCCCACCTACTTCAAGTATAGACAGCTGCAACTTCAGTGGGATGAAAAAGCTAAAAGTCAAGTATTGTTAAAACCACAGATTTCAGGAGAGAAAACACAAATGAAGAACCTAGTGATTGCTTCCCATGACTTTTTTCCTCTCTAACAGCTAAAATGTTGTTGAGGCTTACCCAGTGGTTGATCTAGTGGTCTGCTGCCTGCATGTTCCATTCTCTCATCCCATTCCAATCCCATTCCAATATGCCACTGTTAGCACCATCCTGGCAAGGAGGTAAACCAGCTCAGGGAGCAATATCATCAGATATTCTGGAAGCGGAAAACATAGATCTCTTTTTCTTATTATTTTCTGATTGTTGTCTCCCAAAAGAAGTTTATTTCATGGGGTCAGATAAGTACCAAACTAGACCAAGAGGCTGGGGAATTATATGGCCAGAATTGGGGAGGGGATGGGAGCTATCAATCATTGAAGAGAACCTTAAACCAGCTTAGTTATAATGTGAAATCCCTCTTGAAGAAATTAATTATCAAGGACGTATTACAAGGGGAAGGACAGTAAAACAAAGAGACTAGGTGTTCATTAATCATCATTTGCTACTTTCAACATTCATTTCCTTACCTCCATGTATCACCACGTTAAGAGAAGTGCTTGAGAGAGGTGCCAAAAACAGCAGAAATGAAGTTAGAGTGGATATTTGGGAGACAGGAGTTCCCAGCTACAAGCTCCAGTTGCTGCTTTAGTATGCCTCTAGATGAACAGTCTCCAGACTCAATGCCCCTGCTCAGGCTCCAGGCTGTCAGGTGAGAAATGGCTGCCCCAGGAGTTGAGTTATTGGGTTAGGGTTGCATTGATGGTATTTTAGTTTGGGCACTGGACAGCCATGCAGGACTTGGCTTAATTCCAGCATGCAAAAGGAGTACACCTTTTTGTCTAATTAGATCTCTATGTTTGGCTCTTTTCTCTACTGATAGTGAAGTTTATCCTCCTGGATGCTTATTTTGCTAGTTAATTTAAGTTATATTTTATATAACCTTCTGGGTACCTATACCACTATTTCACCACACTCACTGTAAAAAAGTCTCTTAAATATACTCTAAACTGACCCTCTTTTAGTTTAAAACTCTCACCTCTTGTCCCATTGTAGCAAGCCCAGTTAAAATGTTTCTCCCTATCTTTCTTACAGGCCTCCTTCAGGTACTGACAGTCTGCAATAAGGTCACCGTGGAGCAATACCTTCTCCAGGCTGAACAACCCCAACTCTCTCAGCCTTTCTTCACAAGAAAGGTGCTCCAGCCCTCTGATCAACTCCATGGTCCCCCTCTGGACAAACAAATGAAACTTTACCTATAGGTGTATGTGACACTGCTCTGAGTCAGGGCTATGTTATAAATACTTCAGAGGTCCTTTCCAGCTGCCTAGGTCTGTGAATTTCCACATGTGAGGTCACACAGTAGATGTGGTCCCAGGAGAAAAACCACAAGTTGCAGAGGGCCTTCTGCATCCAGTGGCAGCTCTTTGTATGACAAGCCTTGGGAGGAAGAAACACTCTGGATGAGGAGCTTTCTTGAAGGAAAGAAGCATTCAGAACCACCAAAAAGGTGACCAAAATCCTGATTTGCCTGTGCCACTGTGCAGGACAATTCCTTAGCTGATCTGATGTGACTGAATTTTGTTCTTCTCTCTTATACCAGGCTTTGCGATCTGCTTTCTCAGAGGGGCATAGTTTATGCAAGAATTACTAAAATGAAATATAACTGCAGCCTCAACTATTAATCATTTTGGAAATGAAACCCCAGGCTTTCTCACACTGCATACAGGAAAGGAGTACAAGCACAGACTTGATGTATATACATACACACATATAAAACAGAGCCATTGGAAAACTGAGCATCTGTGTTTTGTACTTGCAGAAACCTATACAAACCCTCACAATTCACTTTAGATTGCATGAGTTCCAGCTATGTGATGTGCCTGTGATATTTTACATATTTTATATTTTAGGTTTATTACATCCTGAGTTATTGTCCACAAGAAAATAACTTAATCTTCTAATAAATTAAAACATGAAAAAAATCAGGCATTTTTAAGACTGATGCAAAGAGTACACTGAGATTTTGCAATATTCTGATGAGCTAGAGCTGTTTACTGCAGACAAAAGACAGCAACTGCACTTTGGCTAGTTCTTCGTTGCATCTCTCTGAGGACAAACACCACTTTATTCTGGCCAGAGTCCAAGTGAACCAACCGTTTTCATCAAGAACATTTTTAGATACTCTGACAGAGTGTCAAAGGCACTCCAAATGTGATTAATGGCAATGGGGGATCATACCAAAGGTTAATGCTTTTTCAGCTGTTTTCTACCATTCTTAAACTAGAGATTTGCATGCATACTGGCCACCTATTTCACCTACTCATGCAGGGCAGTTTTCATATGGCAGATGAAGATTGCACTGGAGTTCTGGTAGGCAAATATAATAGACATGTGCAGGGTAACTGGAAGTTTATTAGTCCATCTTCATGCTGTTATCTAACCAAAATCCATCGAGTTGGATGTCCCAGGTCTCAGTACAAACCTCATGATTTATGTATGCCAAAAGCTGCTCTCAAATACATTCATCCTTTTACCATCTCCCATGAGCATCAAAACGTCCAGTATGTCTAACAGGATGCCATGTGTTTATTTTCCATGTTGCTCACAAGGAAAAGCTGCTTTAGCAAACCCACATGGGGTGGCAAGCAGTGTTAAGGGACAGAAGTTTCCCATTCATTACCCCATTCCATCTCCTTCCTTTGGCAGAAGCAGGTAAGACGTGATTCTTCTACCAATTTCATTGATATGAAAATAACCACTCTTAGAATCAGGGCTAATGAGCTAGAAATGTACAAGAACAAAAAAATTGCTCAACACCTTCAAGTGTGGACACTGAAATGCAGCTATTTGACATGCTGAGCTACAACAATGGCACATGATTTATTGATTAGTTGCCATTGTATGATGGAAGCTTAGCTAGTCATTTAAAATTGAGCTACAACAATGGCACATGATTTATTGATTAGTTGCCATTGTATGATGGAAGCTTAGCTAGTCATTTAAAATACACATATTATCTTGGAAATCTTCC